TTTTTGGTTTTTTTTTGTTTTGGGGTTTTTTTTGGGTTTTTTTTTTTTTTTTTTTTTTTTTTTTTTACACACACACACATCTATGAACATAAGGTTAAAAAGAGCAACCGTAAAACCCCCAAATACTGTAACTTCACGGTATTTTCCCAAATCTGCCTTTTTTTTGTTTTTAATTCCAGCATACATACCTTAGTTACTGACACAACTGACAGTCTTAAAAAAAAAAGTTAAGGCAAATACCTATTTGAGGCTTCTGTACACATCTCAAGAAACAGCACAACAAATATTGAAAGTTTATACCGATACTGCTTTTCTCCAAGTTTTTCAGTGACCAGCATACATACACACATTTTAAGATTTTGGAAGCCAGATTTCAAACAGTAAGTGCCTTGCTTCTAATAATTACTCTATCACTTTGATTTTAGCCATCAAAAAGACTTTTGATTTAGCACATGCTCATTGTACATACACACACAAATATATGTACAGGACAGTACCTGTGAGATTCTTGTTCTCCCTTCATTTTCTCTACTTTTGATAACATGTCATCTACTTTGAATGTTTTCCTGCGGGGAAAAAAAAGCAGAAAGAATAGTTTCACAGAGACACTATTCCCGTAATATGTAACAAGAACATTTATTCAGCCTAAACTTTGACCTGGTTTTCAGTCAAAAACTGTCTATATATACACAATTTTAGCCTTCTGTTCAGAAAGCACCCTTTTTAGGCCAGGTAGCACACTGGTGTTGTATGGACACAACTGCAATACAGCTTCTCAAACAGTATCAAAATAATACAAAGAATTAAAACCAGACCTTTCAGAAGTAATCTTGCTGCTCATAGGAAGTGTCATTTAACAGCAACATATTCAAACCTTGCCATGAACACATGTAAACACATTTCAGCTTTGGTCAAAGAAATCTCCCCGCTTTAGTGACACTTATACCTACTAGGAACTTACATGTCAGCTCTTCAGTCATTACTATTTTAATCTTGATCATAATGAAAAACACTTAAAACCATATCTGATGACTCAGTTAAAAACCTAATTATAAGTAAACCCCCTTGTTTCCCCCAAAAGTTATATTAAATGGACAATTCAAAGAACAATGAATTCTGAAGCTACTTCTAGAGCGCGCTCCCCAGGAAACAGAGGGGATGATGACAACCAATGACAACAATGTCACAGAGAATAATCACTTCAAATCATTTCTCTCTGTCATTCTGACATCAGTCTGTTCATGCTCATATGTTCTGCCTGTTCTACCATACATACAACTTAATGTTCATTTCTAAATAAAGTTCACTCATGAACAGAAGTTATTTAATAGTTTCCAGAACAGTCTTTCAAATTTTCTTTACAGGAAAATTAACGCTTGGACCTAGATGCCAACAGAATTGCACTAGACTAGAGGGACAAGGCAAGAGCTGCGAGGGCATTCTTCCTTTACATTTACACCTTAGAAAAATGAAATAAGAAGAACACAGGCTGTTGCCAAATACTGGATTTCTTGCGGGGGGGGAATGACGACAACATGACCTGGGGAAGTGGGAAGCATCGTCTACAGAAATATCCTGACTAAGGAAACACTGATGTCATACATTGTCCACATTCAGCATGTAATGCATATGAATGATTTAGTTACAAATCACATGGTGGCTAAACAGTAACACTGGACAAAAAACACTACCCAAGTACAGGGCTGCAGTCAGATAACAAGGAGAAAAATAATTATGATTTGTGTAGTAAACAATCATTGATTCAAAGCTCTACTCAGCCTAAGGTTCACACAGATGATGGATTCAAGAACTGACTCACCTACACTAAGATGTGGGATTATTAAAACGAACACTGTAACACTCAGCTTTAAAGCAAGAGATGTTAAGAACACAGGAATTCGTTGAAAGTTTCAGATTCTAATGTAAAAAGTCTCTCCCTGCGCTTTGCCCAAGCTCATCAAAATCAGCCGTGGCTGATTACAGCAAGTTATACATTTATCTTTAGAAGGCTTTCTTAAGCCTAAAGAAATGCTTCAAACAGCTCTAGAGCGAAGTTATGAACCGGAATATGAGCCAGAAACCAGCTAAGAGACAAACATGTTTCAGGAATGGTGGAAAGTTTAATAACTTTCATAAAATACACTGGTATCTGACAAAGCCTGCATTTAATATTTGTGAGCATTACCAATCCAGAAAGAACAATGACACCACCTTTCCTAATGTCAAACTCAAGTTAGTTAAAACAAGAGTCCTCCTAAAAATCTTTCAGAAAATCTAAAAATAGTAAGCAAGAAACACATTAAATCAAAATTGTTGCCTTTGAAGTTAACTCGTAAGAACATTTAAAAAAATACAGAGGTTCCTTTAAACTGAATTACTATTTTTATGTTACCATGTTCCCATGCATAAAAGACAAAATTTTTGTAATAACCATCCCTAATGCCCAGGATTTTCAAGACAGCATTTACCTGTGCTGCAAATACGCGCATCTTGCGCATTCCTTTCTCCACCCACTCTTATTCCAGTCAAGCACAGTAATAATTAGCAAAGTATTAAGTCACATCATAGCAGGCCATTACTCTGCCAATAAATAAAAAAATTATTCCTTTCTCCAAATACTGTGTGGGAAGCAACTTTTATTAACAGTAACTTCTTTGCAATGCCATCATTTGGTCTAATAATACAGTAACACCTGAAGACAGACCCACAGGCGGAAAGCCCATTTCAATTCTCCATCAAGTATCACTTGACCCAAGCGTATTACCTCTCCAAAGACAAGCAGCAACTTCAATACTTTTTTAGCCCAAGTTGACATACACCCATTGATTTACTCCCTATCAACATTTCTCTATACTCTAAGCTTTCTAGTCTTTACACGTACTTACTCAGCATTAAACCTACTGACCGACATCAATGGATAATTTTTTTGTAAAAATGGAGTTTTACTTCCCTACTTCCATGTGATAAATTTGTCCAGCATTTTTCTCAGACTACCATAGAGCTAAAGACAAAAGATGTGGAGCTATAATTACTACTATGATAGTTAAGTTCTGTAAAGTTTGACGATAACTTCTTTATATTTTACATATGATAGTGTTTACTGAAATGGCAATCAAAACAATGATCAGGAATTTAAAAATGGCAGACTTAAGAGGTTCTAGAAGAATAAATAAATACACATGTATAGTCATGGTCCACATAAGCAGGCTAACAATGATGTAGTTCCAAAAGATACTCTTTGCAAAGAGAACTCTACTAATATTTTCGCTATACTGAAGTCAGGTTCATACATTTTTCCTAATATAAACCTCAGTAAGATCTTCTAGTCTAGTTCAGGTATTTTTCCTCTTTTAATGCCACTTTTTCACCAGAATAACAGGATCACATACCTTAACTACTGAACTACTGAACGAAGAACGGCAATTAAGGTCTGTGCACATTTGAAAGTGTTTACCAGCACAGATCAGCAAACAACCATCCTGCTAGCCTCCTCTGGAAGTTCAGCTGACACTGTTTTCCCACAGTCTCTCAGTTTTGCTGCTACATCTTAATAGCCCAACTACCTTTAAACTACAACTTTTGTGGTTTGAACTAGGCCAAAATAGAAGGACCACAGTACTGACAGAGCATGGAAAGGTGGGAGGAAGGGACCCAGGGGAGAAGAATGCACTTCTTCGCAATTACGTTCTGTTTTTCTCCCCTCAACTATGCTAGCTCACTTCTGTTGAGTTATTGGCTTTTATAAAGAAAACATACCGAAATGTTTTACTTAAATCTTCCAAGACCTAATTACCAGAATGATTTCAATAAGTCAGTATCACCAAAAAAAACTAGTGAAATGGCTATTAATCTGTCTGTTATTAGAACACTACCTAACTAAAATCACAATTATAAAACAAAGTGTTAAGGGAACTAGTAAAAATTAGTATGTTTCAAAGAGAAACTAAGCATTCCTTGTGCAGCTGAACTGAACTGGAATTTGGAACAGCAGACAACACAATGTACACGCAAAGTACCATTTCTTGTTTCCCAGCAACTACAGCAGATAGCCAAAGAAACAGATTCAGGTAAGAGAACAGATGCATTTCAATCAACTGTAAGTTAATATAAGTTATAAGCAAGACCTTCCTGTTGCACAATTCTAGTTAAAAAAAACCCAAACCAAGCACCTTGAGCATTACTTCTTAAAATTTGACTCTGCCTTATTTTAAAATAAGCAAATAATTCACTTTGGTAACTCTTGTAAGAAAAAGTAAGTAGCAACTTCAAGTTTGGAAAATAAAAATTAAAAAAAAAAAAATCTATTAGCCATCCTAAGTACCTGAAGTTGTATGTTACAGACTCAGCTGTAAGAAAAAGTTACAATTAGCTCTAATGCTACAATACAAGGTTAAACAATATCCAAGAGATCTGAGAATGCCAAATATAGCTTAATTTAAATAAAACCATACAAATTCTATTGCTAAACAGATCATTCAAATATTACCTTCCTTAGATACAAATATAGTTTAAATTAGAATTGTCTGCATAATCAGATTTTATTGCTATTCCTTAAGTGTTCATGATTAAGTATTTCAGTCCCACAGCAACTGTTTCTAAGCAATAAGAACTTTAGTGTTAAAATATTTTAAAATAAACGTTCAGGCTACAAAAAAAAAAATGTGAAGTATAACAAATGATTTTCAGTGAGGGGGAAGTAACTGAAAGGACTTTGTGATTCTGCTAATAAATAATGTACACTGCACTTTTCACTCTGCAGTATTTATATATTTTAAAGTCTACTGACATACAGCTGTAGCATCTCACATGACAGGAATGACTATTTTGCAATGCCAAAACTCAAGCCCATTTCTCAGATATATCCAGTTCAAAGCGGCCTTTTGAAAGCATTTGCTGGATTTTTTGTAAAATGCTATAACATAATTACAGAAATAATTACTGGATCCTTCCAAGACTAATACACAAACCCCATAGTTTTGTGTTTGTTGTTTTTTTTTTAAATAAGCAGTTAGGTTACAGTTTAAACTAAAATGTTTCATATGCTTATAATCAAGCACCATTGATCACAAAAGCTCAGACATTAGGGTTTTGTTTGTTTTCTAAGAAGTTCTCCCCCAAAACAGAAAACAAAGATGGGAGAATCAGTTAGGACTCTGTGGATAGTTATCCACGTTTGAGTACTGGTATGACCAGAAGTCACAAGCATAAAGTCACACACACCCTTAATGTTGCAGAAAAGTTCTTAGGTCTCAGAAATCAACTGTAAAGTGAGGTATGAATTTTTTAAGTTCTTCATAAAGAAAAGGTCATGTTTTACACACCTCATGAAAAGAGGAGGTCACCTTCCACTATTTTTTGAACTTCTGCTACTTGGTTAACATTTTAGGATTACTTTTCAAAAAACAATTTTACCTTTTGATATTTGTTCGGGAGTTTCTGTGGGACATGTAAGTGAGAGTTCTGTGCAAAAATATTGGCTGCAGGAAAAAAAAAAAAGAAAAAGGTTATGCTTTAATTAAAATTTCCTACAAGCCCAAAATAATGGAGTGATAAAGACCAATTACTCACTGCTATTAGATTCCGGGTACGTAGAAATCTGTATATCTGTGTTGGTTCTAAGAAAAAGAAACACATGTTACTCAACATACCTTATAATTCCAGAAAGACAGCCTTGTAACGATAAAAAGAGTATCTAGTTTAGCACGCTGATTTTTTTTTTAAACAATTATCATAGAAGTAATTAAGTGAAGCATCATGATATCCAAATAACTCCAAGTTAACAAGTCAAAGGTTACTCCACCTACTGTATAACACAAAGCAACTTCTTGTCTAAGCTACCATAAATTGGCAGTCACAACGCAACGAGGACCGCTCTTGCTTTCCACAAAATATGTTTCTTACAGGCTTTATAACATAAAAGGGTAGAAAAAATATTTCAACATATTACAACCTATTGTTGAATATGTAAGTTTTCTTCACAAAATTAATAAACATATCTGATACAATACCAAAATAGTATACTAAATTTACATAGTTGGATAATTTGGTATCCGGTTGTTTTATCCTTCTGGAAAGTACCAAGGTCACTTGCACAAGGTACCAAAACAAGAAGAGGGACTGTCAGTTGACTATGACACATTACAGATCATTCTAAGCTAGGAAATTAATTTCTAAAACCTTTTACATTCATAGAATCAGAAAAATGTTGATTCTGGCAAAGTAAAGTACTTCAAAGTGCAAACGAAGGGAGGATAATACAGCCATACGCAATATTGACATAAAAGGGGAGCATCATTTGGCATAGGTGTAACAACCGAAGTTCAAAGGAACAAGACTCACATACAGAAAAGAGGACCTTCGGTTTAGTTTTAACCAATTCAGCTAAATCAGGACAAAAAAGGTTTTTGTCTGGATCAGGTTATATCTAACAAGAATTCCAATCTAAATTGAAATACACCCTTTTTAAACTGAAATAAAAGCCATCTTCATTAGGTAATGTCAGCAAGAAACTTGGAAATGACTTGATCAAACACATTAAGCATAGAGGATGCCTTGGTACCCATGCTAAGGCTTCTAACACTGCCTCCATTTCCCACAAAGAAAACAAACAACTATTTATTTTTTAAGAAATATAAAACTTTATTTTCATTGACTGCAAAATATTTATTTCAAATAGCTGGAAACCTTATTGTAATTTATGGAATTCCGTAATTAGAAGAGAAAAAAGCATTTTATATCCTTCATTCCTTTTTGAAGATATGATTCAGCCTTATTTCTACATTTATGAGTCTAAGACCCCAAAGAATCTATTAACAGAGACATATTATTATTAGGGAAGGAAATCTTAAATGATCCCAGTATTTCCTTTTAGAAGCCTGATGAAAACCAGTAAAATTCTGCTTAATGCAAATTATCATAATAAAAATCTGTATTTTCCAAGTCAATATAAAGGAAAAGAAAGAAATTAAGAAACATGCACTTTGCTAGGAAGTGAAAATACAGAGGAGTCACAACTTTTAAAGGAACATCCAGGGGGTTTTAGTCTCCAAAAAACCATGACAATTATAATTTAGAAAGGTATGAAAACATAAAATTACATTCACAAGAATGTAATTTAAATGACAGTGCACTGCTGATTCAATTTCAGCTTTCCCAAGTAGAAAAATTCCGAAACACACTTTCCAACCTGCAGACAGACATATGTTTCACAAGTCCGTATTACTCAGCAAAAGCTTAAAATAAATCTTTGTCTTTTTCCAGCATATGACCTTGAAAATGGACAAAAACATTCAGGAATAACATGATTCAATACTACATGTGTTAGGATTTTTTACTATTTACTTATTGCAGTTTTCCCATAATGTTCACGCTACAGAGTATGTGTACATTTACACTTAACTCCTGATCACTACCTGCACAGCTGTATGCTTCCCTTGTCTGACAGAGTGAGGCATGGGCAAGTGAATTTTTTTCCCCCCATCTCAGACACTGACACTAAGCAAACCTTTTAGAACTCGCTTGCCACTTGACCTATTTGCAGTACAGTATTTATTGAACACATAGCTTTGTCAACAGGGCTAAGGTTAAAAGGACCCCGTGTTATTAAGGGTCTGAGACACCACCAAAAACTCCCAACACTTTCTCAAACGCTGTCATCATCTACAGCAAGTGAGCGCAAGCAGTGACAGCACCAATCCTAGAACCGGATCATGTATTTAGCAGGGCATTAAAAATGTACTTCAAATCCTAGCGATTGCACAGAAATCTTTTAGTACAACGTAAGTTTATTGCTATGCTGTGCTTTTGAATCAGATTTCAATAAACTACTTTCTGGTGCGTCCAAGGGGATTCTCCTCCTATCTGGAACAGCCACAGGGTGATGCGTGGGTCGCAAAGGTCAATTTCCAATATGAAATCTCAACTAAGGGACAATTATTGCCAGACAAAGAAAAACCAAGTACAGCGAAGTCTTAAATCACATCCTGCCCCCGAAAAGGGCTCGAAAGGCAGGCGCCGGAGAGGGAAGAGCCTCCTCCTTCCCGACTCCCCAGTGCCTCCGAGGGCTTGTTAGAGGAGGGAAGGGAACCAGCCACCCCGAAAGCCTGATGGGAACTGTTACTGAGAAACCAAGTTCATCGGCTGGGCGCAGACACGCACCCC